AAACATTTTGGTCGAGCAGTATCATTAAATGCGTTTTATTAATAATACACATACATATTAATATAATACTATATTCTATTACACAGAGGCTAAAATAAGCTCACTTGCTATAATTAGCCAGTCACTGGCTTCAAATATTTTGTTTCATTTTGTTCAAAAGGCAAAGAAGTCTGTCGAAGCTTATAAAGAGACCAAATGTAGAAGAAATTTTACAATTTTGTGGTTAAATTGCAGGTTTTATTTCATCTTTGAAAAAGAAAAAGAAAAAAAATATATATATAGTTTTTTAAAATTAGCTTAAAAACTCCGATGCAGCAGGTGGCGGTGTGCCACAGTGTTTATGTTGGCTTTGCGAAAGTCACGAAGAAGAGGGTCATCACTTCCGACACAACTATCAGTGCGACAATATGGCAGCGGTGATTGAAGGTAACGAGGAAAGTGGGTTTTCTGGCGAAAGTGGGGCGGCCAGGATACAAGAGCGACTTCAGAAGCGGCACCAGGCAAGGATCGAGGATGCCGAGCGGAGGAAGGAGGCTAAAGAGAGCCATTCTGTCGCCGAGGAGAAGAGCGAGTATTTCTCCATCGCCTTCAACAGGGAGCGGGCGTGTATAGAGGAGCTACTGTCCAGCTGTTCCGGAGCTGAGCGCGCTGTGGTGACTGAGAAACTAGAAGAGGCCACGACCAAAACTCTCCAGCTGCAAAAGTTTCTGAATGACAGTATGCAGTTTCTAACGCAGTACGAGCTCAGGCAAGCCCAGGCTGCTCTCCAGAAACTCCAAACCTCGCTGTCTGAGACCAAAGAGGAGGCTTTGCCCAGGAAGAAGTTTGCCTTTCGAACTCGCACCAAGGCAACAGATAAAGCCTCTGCACAAGATGCTCATCCCCTTCCCCGTGATGAAGGCACAGCTGCAGAGACAGGTAGGACCAAGGTGGATGGAGCAGCACCCGCCGAGCAGTGCGGCTTCTCCAACATGACCAGTGAGTTTCTGACCAAGACGGCTGAAGAGATCCAAAAACGAGATGTGCTTCTCACTCACCTGACCAACTGCAAAGTCCATCTGTTCGGCTCCCCCAGCACGCTGCACCTGAAACACATCGACAGCTGTGAGATCCTGTGCGGGCCGGTGTCCAGTTCAGTTTTTGTAGATAATTGCAGAAACAGCGTGCTGGCCTTTCCCTGTCAGCAGCTGCGGACCCACAACACAACCGACACACAAGTGTATCTGCACGTCACCAGCCGAGCCATCATAGAGGACTGTCACGGAGTGAGCTTTGCCCCGTTCACATGGTCCTATCCCACCCTGGAAGAGGACTTCACTGTGTCTGGGCTGGACCGGGCCCGAAACAACTGGACTCAGGTGGATGACTTCAACTGGCTTGCTGCTGGGACACCTTCCCCAAACTGGACTGTTATTCCAGAAGCAGACAGAAAAGCCAACTGGGACTCCTAGAATGGGACTTTTAATGACCTAATGCACTAAAACAAATGATAGTAGAAATTTTACATGAAGTGCTTGCGGCCAGAATGCACATTTAATGTCCATTTTATTTCATGGATATAATCTTCATTAATATATTTAAATAAAAATTCACTTAATTTGGGCTGTTACTGTGTGGTTTTTTTTGTTTTGTTTTTTTTTTCAAAAAATAAGTCTAATTCTTAAGAGTCTAGGGTCAAAGTCAGATTTCAAGTAGTTTGGTATTGGGACAGGCTGAGCTTTTCAGAATCACTTGTTTTACCTAACAGACCAAAACATGAAGATTTTCAGTTTCATGTTATTATTCCAATTCAATAGCTATCAGATTTTTACAGCTTATATGAAGTTTTGAGTCTATTCACCACATTTATAAAGAGGTGTATAAACAGAAGAAGTATTCAGAAATTCATACTGCATGTGTACCTCTTTGGGATTAACTCAGGACATTTTGCAAAATCAAAAATGGTACATAAGGGGAGGAAGAGTAAGCTCTGGGAGTATAAAGGGACCAAAACATACTCAATCATTATCTATGGTCTGCGTTTAGCTGTGGAATTTCACCATCCATATCACGAGGGATGTTTTCACTACTTGGGCAATGCAGGAAATCAAACTGGTTAAGTCTGATCCAACTTTGGATGTCTTTGAAAACCTCACCAGCAATATTTCAGAGAACTCAATAGGTATTCCCTTGTGTAGCTGTTTATGTCATAAACTCCCATGCAGAGGGAAAAAAATACTGCACTGAAGAACAGGTAATATGCAGTTAAACAAGTTTGTGGACATGGGTTAGTCACTGACCCAAGAACAAAGTAGAGCACCCTGTTGAAAATACCCTTCTTACTAAGTTACTGATAAAGTTTCAGTAAGACTTGACCAACACTGAAGGAGCTCTAGCTTTCATGTGCTCTCAAAATGTGTTTTCTGATGACCATAAAGTTCAGGTATAATTAATTCAACCATTTTTATATTGAATAATTTTTGCATTGAAATATGTGGGGGAAAAAATGGGAGTAGTGTTTACAGTTAATGTAAAATGTGCATCTTTTGAGAGATTATATAGGTTTTCTTGCAGAAGGAACGGAAAGTAAATTGTTATTACACAAAAATATTAAGACACCAAGTCTGAGATCTTTTATTTTTAAGTCTGTTATAGTTCAGGCTTTGTTTTTATACCGACTCTGCCTTTTAAAATTCCTGCCCACAAAGGTAATGCAAGTTACACAAAATAAAGGAGGAGGGGAACAAATAGTAAGAAAAGAAAAGATCTCTGTGTTTGTATTTTATTTAAAATGCAGTCTAAGCCATTTAAAAATCCAAAAAATAAGAAAGAAACAAAATAGAATGCTATGGAAAAACGGAAGATAATAGAATAAATCGGCAATATAGAATTAAATGGCTCCTAAAATTTAATAAAGCAAATAAAATAAAATGGCTTAATAAATGTAGTTAAAACAATCACAGCAAATATCTCATAATATAAAATGTAGTGGACAGTCCAGCTTTGAAATTAAGCGCAATAAAGAGTATTTTCTGCTAAACATGTGTCACATTATCAAGAGTTACTGCATGAGGTAGAGAAGAAAGAGCTTTTGGCAGCTGCTTCCTAAAAATATCGTCGTTCACTCAGGTTGTAGGCAGTATAAGACACTACTGAATAAACCAGTAGTGCTGTGAAATATTCATTTGGCCAACAATTTAAATAAATCATTGAATACCTGGTGTTAGCATGACATTCATGTCTATGACAACTGCAAACTTATGATTATAACACATAAATATTGTTAGTGAGACAGCGCTAAACACGCACAAAGATTTGATGAAAGACATTGTGAAAAGAGCATCAGGAGATTGGGCGTTCAGTGTTCCAATTGCATTTGGTAAACATTTAGCAACACTGCAGCTCTCACATCCAGCCACAAGGAGAAAGAAGAATAGACCGTTCAGGGAAAGGCCTGGCTTTGATCAGCATAAGTATCTGGCTCGTGTATGTGCCAGACACTGTGTTGGTTCTAACTGCCAAGATAGCAAATGACAACAAGAACATCAATGAAAGCAATAGAATATTTTTTATCAGCTTGCCAGACAAAGTTTACTGCAAACACTGAATTTTCATGTTTAATAATGTTTAAGCAAAATTTTAATTTGTCCAGTTTGTCACAGTTTGGTCTTGATTTATTAAGCAATTACTTCCAAAGTACAGTCATAGTGGGGCTTTATTAACTCATTGTTTTTGATTCGTTGTGAAGACATCTGGTTTGTGTTGAGCTTGTGGACCCCATACCTATGAATGATTAGGCTTTATCATTAGCCCTACTGTCATGTCCATTACCTTTGTCAACCATCTGCTGAAACTTGTGCTGCTCCTGATGTGTTTGATCAAGGCAACCATGACCACATGAACACTCAAACCAATTATGGCCCCTGGCAGCAGCTTACGATCAGGCTCATCTTCTGTAAATTGGATCAGGGTGCTTACAGGGGCTTAGCATGACGTACTGCAACTTTGAGTTTAATCATGAGGATCCCCGGCCATCCTCAACCTCTTTGAGAGAACGCAACATTAGCTTGTCCTGAAAAGGTTTGAAGAAATAAACCCTTTTGAACACTGAAGTTTAGGACACAATGGTGCAGAAGAACCTTTAAAATAAGAATCCGGTGCTGTTCTCCTGAGTTCTTTATAGCGGTTCTTTTGCCATAGGATGGATTACAGTCTGAGCTGACTCTTCTGTTCTTTCGGACCAGCCAGAGGACATACTGATTACAAACAAACAGGGAAGTGCAGGTTAGCATACTCAAGAACTTTATCTAAACCGAAGTGGAAATCTTGGAACTCCTGCAGTGTTTTTTACAAGCAAGGACACATCACAGATTGAAGAATGGCTTTGTTGCCAGTTAAGTTTGATCTGAAAAAGCGAGTAAAGTTGGCTCAGACAGTCTGGTTCATGTACTGGTTTGCTGTGTTGGCCGGCGTGTTGGTCCTCAGCATGGGTCTGTTCTTCAAGATCGAGCTGCGAAAACGCTCTGAACTTATGGACAACAATGAAAGCCACTTTTTGCCCAATCTGCTTATTCTCATGGGTCTAATAGCCTGCAGCATCAACGTCTTTGGAGGCAAAGTGTGCTATGACTCACTGGACCCCGATAAGTTTGCAAAGTGGAAGCCCATGTTGAAGACCTACTTGGTATTCTGTGTGGGATTCAACGCCCTGCTGCTTGTCACGGCCGTGCTGTGTTTCTTGATGAGAATCCCTATGCAGTTCACCCTGGCTGAAGGGTTGAGGAACGGCATGAGGTACTACAAGGACACCGACACACCGGGACGCTGCTACATGAAGAGGACCCTGGACTTGATGCAGATTGAGTTTCGTTGCTGTGGAAATGACAACTACAGAGATTGGTTTGAGATTCAGTGGGTCAGCAACCGCTACCTGGACTTCAGCTCAAAGGAAGTCAAAGAGTAAGTGACAGAGATTTTTTTAAAAAAAGTTAAATCCTTTATTGTTGGCCTTAAAAGTTGCAGAGTTATTTAATGTGGAAGTAAAATGAATGTGTTTGGATTGCCGCTGAACCTAAGTGCACCAAGCGGCTGAGGTGGGGTGATCTGTGCAAAGTTAGAGTTCAGTATAAGTGGATTTGAAATGAAGGTAGATCAGATCAGGCGTAATACTTACTTTCATCCACTGAGGATTACCATAGCAGAAACGGTGACTGCTATAGTTCATAGCAGAGATGTGTTCTTGGGGTCAGAGAAGAGATCTGGGGGCATTTATATGTGAAGATCTGGACTTTAGTGAATGGTTGCAGAAAAAGATACAGTCAAGTCCCACGAGAAAGCTTTACACTAGCCTGTTTATGTCTCGGCCAACCAGCACCACTTAACTTTTTGTAAACAATTTTGTGTGCCGGGACATAATTAGTGTTTAATCTCCAGGATTACAGTGTCTTGTCCTTCATGAACCAGTGTCTTGTCCAATCAGCAGAGGACATGGCAGCACTCCAATAACAGCACTGCCAGTCAAAAAAAGTGTAGCCAGAGATGCTCACATTAGCATAAACTAAGGACAACAACGTTATCATGAAAACAGGAAACAGCTATGCTTTAGAGCCTTCTAATTGGGCAGCATTTGGGGTCAGTGTTGTTGTGGTGCCATTACAGGTTTTTGTTGTACTTATACATGCAAGATATCACATTCACTGCCAACTTTCTTAGTAACAGTAACTCCAGAATTATTCTACATCATAAAGTCTCTGTGCTTTTGACCAACAAGTTGTCTGGGTCATAATTCGGAAAGCTCAAGTAGGTGGTGACATTTCTTGCAATAACGGATACATATCTGACACCCCCCAGTTCTTTGTGATCCAATTACACTTGTCTTTCCATTGACCTACTACTCTCAATCATAGTCAAGATCAGCTACTCAGACTGAGCAGTGATTCTAATTTCAGTGTTTGAGTGCCTGCCTTCTTGCTTCTCGCAGTTGTTCAGACCTTAATATGTACTCCTTGAGATAGTTTGAAACAGCAGTGTATGATGGAACATTTTAGCTGACGACTGAATGCCAATTCAGGCCAGCTTTGTGGAGGTTGGATAGCTGATTTAATGTTGTTTATTGTCAAGGTAAGATTGTACTGCAAAGTATAATACAACAACTTTTGACCTGGAGTAATGTATGGATTCCAGTTAAATCTGAACGAAGGGAAGTCTAACACAGGTGTGCTAATTCAAGTAACAGCCCATTCCTGGCCTTCAACATCATCTTCCCCTTTACTGTTCCTCTTCTTCCTAGCCGCATTGGCAGTAATGTTGATGGCCAGTATCTGATGGATGGAGTGCCCTTCAGCTGCTGTAACCCCAGCTCCCCCAGACCCTGCATTCAGGCACAGATGACCAACAACACTGCCCACTACAGTTATGACCACTACACAGAGGATCTCAACGTGTGGAAGCGGGGATGCCGCGATGCCCTGCTGTCCTACTATGGTGGCATGATGAACACCATCGGAGCCCTGGTGATACTGGTCACTATGCTGGAGGTCAGTGCCACAGACTTACTTAAATATATTAACTGAAACAATGTTCACTTCTTAGTTGGAAAATGTAACTCTTTTCAACTTCATTTAAAAGTTAAAACAATCCCATGCACTATCCACTGCATGGAGGAATGGAGATCGTGCATAAATGTCTAATTAAGTCTTCTACTGCAACATTGTCTCTGTCTAATGTTGGTTTTGCAAACAGTATGTCCTCATTAATCTATTCACATGGAAAGAAAATAAACAATAGAGGGGACTGCTTGAGAGCTGTTGAGTGTTTCAGTTGTAGTGGGCGTTTTTTTTTAAATACCCCAATTGCAGAAGTGACCTTAATGCACAAAATATTGTTGTTGTCACAACTATTACAGAAAAGTATATATTTCCATGTCCACTGGTGGAAGGCTTGTTTGAAGATACAAACAGCTGGTCTTGGCATATCAATATCTAGAAATAGCAACAACCTTGCTGATAGCTAAATTGAAGCCAGGCAGGTGTGTTAGTCATTTTAATCAGAAATACAGAGTTCTTTGGAGCACTACTCTAGCCTTGAAATCTGTTGGTGGAGCCTACAATAGAAACAACTGATAGGAAAATGGGCACCAGACAATGTTTTCCCATATTCCCAATGGGCTTAACATCCCAAGAATTCTGAACAGGGAAAAGCCTCATTTGAAATGAGAAATAGTCTGGAAAATTGTTATGTTCAGAAAAATAATACAGATAATTCAGCCTATTCGATCTGACAAATCAGAGATATTTATGTGTCTAAGTGTTTTCTAGCAGTACTTCCCTTTTTTTTTTATATCAACAAAGACAAATTGGTTAGTCTGGCAACTGGTTAACCTCCCCTTCTGTCCTTAACCTATGACTTCAGTCCAATTCACTTTCATGCAGTAGGTTAGACAGTCTCTAACAGGCCTAGCAATACATTTCAGTTCGCAAGAGTCACTTTGGAAGAACAATTGGAACTAAATATGTTGATTTTTTCTTCAAGGAAAATCAGTTCTCAGTTTATTTTTTACTGAAATTCTCGAGTTACCTCATCACATTTGCTCCAGTTTCATAGTGGGCCTAAAACAATAGATACCAACTTATAACATTCCTGCACACATTAAGGACCGCAGCTTCCCTTCTCAGCAGATAAAAGTAACAACAGCCTTCTTAAGTCACAAATATTGTACCTGTATCCGACTAGATTTTAATCATTTTTAAATTGTTCTGCATTTTTTCCTCAGATCATTTTCAGTTAAATGACTGAAATTGAGAGAAAGTCTTTAATGTCCAGCTAGTAGGAAGTCAGGTGAATAAACATGCAAAGCCTTGACCTAGTTGGCATTTCTTCCATCAGTTTCCTCAATCCCTGCTTCTTCCCTTCTTTCCACAGTCTGCCCACGCTATCAGTAATACCCACTTACTGCACCTCCTTCCCAAACACCGCTATCCTCTTTACCTAAATATATTTTCTCCTGCCCTACTATCAAGTTACCCTGCGCCACTTTTGGCACGATTTAGCTCACCTGCGGTTTCTCACCTGCTACTTTCTACCTAAATCCTGTAACAGCCATGTGTGTCCTCTTTCCTCTCTTTACTTTCTCCTTGGCCTCCACTGCCAACATCTGTGGTTGTTTGTAAAGCCAAAATATCTGCTTATGATTATGCAGAACAAATAGACATGTACAGGTGAATCCTTGAAGCCAGTGACCACAGCGATGATATAAATTGTTTGGGTTCCTGCATCACCTTGAGGAGACAGTAAATAGAGCCATACAAATAACATCTTTGCTCCAGAAATCCAGCAGACAATTGTTTGTTGTAAAAACACAGCTTCAGCTAATCAGATGCACGCTCGGAGGAATCCTAGATTTAAAAGAGGAGTTACGCAAGCATCTCTGTGCCGACACATATGGGTTAATCTGCAAGAGGTGACAAGGAAATACTTATTTCCAGGAGTCTGATCTCCTGATCTGATGTCTCCATTTACAGTAACTGGATCTTAACTGTCCTAATGAGATGTTAGCCCTATAGGCTATAGATTACTTCAAGAATTTAGAAAAGCTCCTAATTTCATTTTCCTTGCTTAAATATTTGCCTTAACACAACATATTTGCAGTATATTACACACTTTCTGACTCTGATACATTTATTGAAAGATGTAAAGTTGTATCATCTTTTCATGTCCTACTTATAAAAACCATGCAAACATTTCTAAGCATTTAGAAGATCCATCCATCCATCCATTCGCTTCTGCTTATCCTTTTCAGGGTCGCGGGGGGCGCTGGAGCCTATCCCAGCTGTCATAGGGCGAGAGGCAGGGTACACCCTGGACAGGTCGCCAGTCTGTCGCAGGGCTAACGCACAGGGACAGACAACCATTTGCACTCACATTCATTCGCACATTCACACCTAGTGACAATTTGGATTATCCAATCAACCTATCCCCAGAAGCGGCATGTCTTTGGACAGTGGGAGGAAGCCGGAGTACCCGGAGAGAACATTTAGAAGATATTCAAAATAATTGCTGAAGATATTTTTTTAATTATTAGTGAAACTGGAGTTCTGAATTTAATATTATTACACTGGAAAACATCAGATATTTTCCATTTTTGCTTTAAAATTTAATTAAAGGATTTATTAAATTATCTGAAAGAGCATTATTAATTACATTTCAGCTTAAGTAATCAGAATTGTTATGCTGCAGCAGATTTTTAGCATCCATGAGTGCTAAAATTCACTACGTACAACCGATGCATTACAGTGGACCTATTATACCTGGTTTGTTAAATTAAAGACAACTACATAGCGGAATTATAAGAATGAGGTCATCCCACATCTGCACTGAATGCTCCATTTTTATACTTTTGGATTTGTGTGATGTCTTAAAGAGGGGATATTCAGATGTGGGCATCCCACACAAACAGCGCAGTCTGTGAACACCGCCTATTACTCCAATCTTCTGCTTGGGCAGGGCAGCCAATCAGAGAAAATCATGCATCATGCAGCACCAAGACCCAGTAGAAGATGAAATTTTTTTTTTTTTAGCTGAAACAAGTAATGTTATTTAAGTATATTCCAAGAATAAAATATGGAACTATAGATGAGTAGAACAGGCCCATTAATTTGGAGCTGAGCAATGGTGATACTTTTCCTTTGCTCTGATTTGAAACTTCCAGTAATGATGAGAATACAGATTTTTGTCTAGATATCCTCTGATAATCAGCTAATTGTCTTGATAATATTATGTTCTAAACCGCAAACAACATTTGTTTAACTTCAATGCAATGTCTTCCTTCATATAATATCATTTTTCCATCTTTCTGATTAAACTGGAATTTCAATCAAATTATTGTAGCACAAGTGTATAATAAATTCCCTTCTTAAACGTTTTCTTTCATGTGGCATGGCTACATTTCACATTAAGTTTATCAGATCTGTGTTCCTGTTCCTTGCAGGCTAGTGTGACTGTGGGCATGCAGTATGTCCACAGCTCCCTGTGTAACCTTGCTAATCCGGAGGATCCAGAGAGCGAGAGCGAGGGCTGGCTCCTGGAGAAGACAGTGAAGGAGACGTTCACTGACATCATGGACAAAATGAAGTCCATGGGCAAAGGCGTCAAGGTGGAGGAGGGTGAGCCAGCGGTTGAAACAGTGAGCTGAGCTAGCGCCACCTGAACAAACTGACCCCACTCCCACCTGAGGAGAAAATCAAAGACATGTGAGATTTTTCTACCAGCATTTATTTTGTAGGCCTACTCATATATTTGGTTATGAACTCATTAGAAATGGACGTGAAAAGATCATATTGCATATTCATACTTTGATAAATAGCAGCTGGATGGGTTTTTAGTTTTGGTTTTCCCCAGTAAAACAACCACCAGCATGGTTTTTGGTTTTTTTGTTTGTTTTTGCACCAGCATGTTTTTAATTAGTTTTACAGTTCTGCTTTCTGACACTTTGTGCATTTTTTTCTCCAAAGAAAGTGCAAAGTTATAAATCAAGTAAATGTTATATGTATTGAAAGCATGTAATTTTCTCCTTTATTTTGCTGTCACGTAGTTTGGCGGGGATGGTGGTTGCTATGCAATCCCCCCCTCTCATGGAACCCAATGGTGCAGATTGAAGATATTTGACTCAGGTTTTGCAATGTTTTATTTTTGCTAACCCGTCTAGGCTACTTTATAGTCAAAGCAGACAAATTAACCCCTCTGACTTGCTTCCATTTATACTCCAGTTCACTGGATAAGCAGCTGAGATGGAGTATAATTTTCAATTAAATGAATCAGTCATGCATGAACAGTGCAACACATGGATCAAGACTGAGCATGGGAATCAGGAGGTTCAGAAACATGGGGTGACTCCAAACCTGTGGCCTGAAATTGGCAGCTAAATCTTGGTTCCTGACCCCTGTACTGTAATCTCAGATCCTCTTTGATATTTCCCTAGTGCATTCAGTATCTGTATATTGACATATGTGTATGTACAGTATATAACTTTGTATATGACGTAGAAAAGATGAAAAATTACTTTTTTAAAAGAATGTAATTAAGTTGAATCTTTTATTTGAATCAATGTAAAGTTGTTTTTCTTTTTTCCAAATAATTTTCTTGGCTTTGTGTGACTGTGTAGAGGAGAGATAATGCTGACTGTATACGCGAATAAAGGATATTAGAGACGACATACAGCAGTGCAATGATGGCGTTGTGTTGTCTCGACCTTGAGTCATGAGGCATGCTGTGAGTGCCACTGGGTTCCTTATTAAGCCAATAGGATAAGGCCTATTAAGGTATTACTGCTTTCACATGGCCATGGGATGACTTTTCACATGCCCAATGTAAGGACATGTGTGTACAGTATGTGTGTGTGCTTGAGGAGGAGCTATGCACGGGATGCATTCTCAAGAAACATGCAACAAATGTTACTCTCACTTGTTCTTTTCTTTGGTTTTATGCACTTTTTGTGACTTAAACCTACTCTAAAATGAGGTTTGACTTCAGAGGGCGCAAGTCGGAAAATCCTTTGATCTCTTTGGTTGATATATTGGTAAATAATAACCTGTAAGGTACTCTTTATCCATCCTGTTGAAACTAAATCCGCTAATAACGTGTGTATCTGAATCGAAAGCCACATGTTCTCAAAACTTTAGCCATGAGGAATTACGAGCCATGATATTAAAGCCAGTGTGGTGTTGTTAGAGCAGATGTGAGGGAGTGCTGTGAAGAGTCAGCAGGAACGGCAAAGAAGCCAACTCTGTGCTGTATTTTTGTTGGACCAAAGCACATAACCAGCGCTGAGTAGATAAGAAGCTTAATCGGCTTTAGATTAGCATGAACCCCTCGACCAGGTGAGCAGGTGATGTCCTGCTGCAGGATTCGAGACACGAAAGACAGAGATAGAGACAAACAAGGGAAAGTGAAGATCAGGGTGGTATGAAAGAAAAATAAGGCACCACTTTATTGAATTTCTTTCTTCTTCTTTTTTAAATATGTGAAATTAAAGTAACTTCTTGAAGTATCACATAAAAGCATTTATTATTCATCAGGTAATCACTGACATTTTAATGTTGGGGCTTTATAAAATGTAGTAGTCAAAAAATAGCATTGCAGTTCAGTATCTAAATGCAAGTTCTTAATTTCCACTAGAGCTATAGTGTCAAGTATTTAGCTGAGTACCTAACCAAAAATAGCATTGCAACACAGAGAAAGTACTCAGGTGCAAGTGAAAATACTACATTCAAAAGTCATAATTACACAGCTTTATTGTAGGTCTTCACCCAACATTATAAAGAGGTTTGAAGTGTTGGTTGTGATTGTGATTGTTGTGATTTGGCCCGATATGAATTGAACTGAACATGACTCCATATAGGTGTTGTATTACTGAATAATTGGATCATTCTTGTCATTGTCAGCTTTTAGTAGTGGAGATATTTTTATGCTCTTTAATTTCTTGGATGATTTAATCTATTAAAAAATACATACTTTATTAGAAATAGATATGTTTTGTCTGTTAAAATGCAAAGTGAAAAGTAATTGGGTGGCTAAATTATTAAATGGACAAGAAATAAAACATATTGGCCAAAATTGGAGATATTGGAAGTAAAGAACTGTGCTGACTAGATGTAGATACTTTGTTTCCACCCCTGTGTTTATGTTTCTAATGGCACACTCATATTTGTTTGCATACTGCATTAAAAAAAGCATCTTCTCCTTTTAATGGTAATACACCTGCAGAATATGTGACCATGCAAACAAGGTTGAGTATTGTCTTCAGACAGTGAGTACTCCCACAGAGGCAGCTTCTAAACTTTTAATCTGCTAAGAGCATCCTATACGTCGTCTGTATTCTGCTGCTCTCTGTTGGTGACTGCAGGTAACCAGCTGTGACCAAATCATGCTGACCGTCATGTTGATCTATTTAATTAATTAAGTCCAGCAGTGACAGTGTGACTGTTCTGTGACAATGTAATCTGTAACAGAACAATCACGCTGCCACAGCTGTTCTCATAAGTACAGCTAACTTTTATAATCTGCCTCTTTCGATTTATTTTATTTGGATTCCAAATTTCATATTTTTCGGTGGCAAACTGGGTGCTTTGTAGAGCTTTAACTGAATGATTTCATTTACATTAGAAGCCCACAAGAGGGTGTCTTTCCATCAGTGATAATGCAGCAGGCGTGGCCTTCTCATTGTGGAATGAAGAGGAACTATATTGCTTGAGTTTCGTTTAATTAATCTGTTGACAATTTCTTTAAAAATAATTTAGACTTAGAAAAGAGAAAACTGTTTAAAAAATGACACCAACTTTTTGAAATTGTTAAGTAAATAACCTATTATTTGCTTCCTTCCTCATAAAATAGTTTGCATGTAAAACATCAGAAACCATTTTCAAAAAGTTCATTCCAGGCAGCTGCTCTTTCAAAATGTAAAATATAACATGCATACAACGATATGGCACAATAACTCTTATTGCTGTAAAAGCTGAGACACACTAAACAGATCGAATCAGTTATTAAAAAACAAATAAAATGAGAAAAAAATGGTCATTTCTAATTGGTGATTGAAATTCTTCCATCCCAGTGAGACATAAGAAAATATGCAGCAGTGTTGGAGTTCTTGCTATGTAAATACTTAAAAAATACTAACCAAGCCCCCAGTCTCTCATATATGAGACTTGTTTAAAAATCAGTGCATTAACAACTGATGCTGAACATTAATTATTCATAAAGGAGTGGCACTTATGAATACATGCAAGATTCGAGGTGTTTATTAATTATTTAACGCGATAATGAACATGCAAGGTGTGATGTGGTTGCAGAGAGGCAATGAGTGACACGAGCTCTAATATTAGCCCGTTGACCTTGACGCTTCTGTCAATGGTCAGGGACGCTAGCTGCTATCACATCTCACTTTACACTTCACTATGGGCCTGAATAAATATGGCAGACAGAAAGAAAAGCAGAGAGAGAAAGTCAGAGAGAGAGAGAGCGAGCGAGAGGCCCGTGACTGGTAGATGTGTGGCCTGTTCAGAGGGGCATTGTTAGAGCTATGAGAGGACAATGCACTGCCCCCGCCCTGAATACTCGCCATACCAGCTGACCAGCCATTACCAGCACTGCTGCACCGTTACAATTCCTGCTGCTCGGACACACACAAACACGTACACACACGGCCTCAATCATAAGTTTGGTCTTACAAGGAAAAAACACACTGTGTGTATAACACTGGAGAGAGGAGAGAAACCAGGTGGGAGGCCAGCACCGCCTGACAAAAGGCTTAAGCTGAGGCATGCATGGGCACACAGACTGTGTCGCCACTATGTGTGTGTGTGTGTGTGTGTGTGTGTGTGTGTGTGTGTGTGTGTGTGTGTGTGGACGCGAACATGCGTGTGATTTACAACAAGTTAAGTTTAGACCCTCGCACCTATCTGTTTCTTCAGCAGTAACATTTCTCCTGCTGGAGCAGCAGCAGCAGCCGTAACCACCCACAAAGGACAAATGCAGCACTCACACCATCTTATTATTTCAGTGACAAAAGTCTTCAAAGCGAAGGGTGTGAACAGGAGAGGAGAGGAGAGGAGAGTTTTCCACTGGAGGATGAGTACAGTACTACCAACAAAAAGCAATTAGAATATATACATATACTAATTAAGAGGCACCTCAATGTTCAATTTAGATCTTAGGGCTGTGTATTCTTAACTGATAAATATAATCTGTGTAAAACTGTAATCTGAAAAGAGAAAATCAGCTGTCAATTTTGAATCTATTGGCCAAAATCTCCTTTCAAATAGGAAATTTTTGCTGCTTTTCTCTCTATAGGTGGCTGGATCAAGTGACCATTTCCTGACATTAAAAGCAATCAACATATCAATCATTAATAAATGCAATCAGCAGTGTTGGAAAGGTCTTCGTTCATTTATTCAAGTACTGTACTTGTGCACAGCTGTGAGGTGCTTATATTACTGATTTAACACCTGCATATGAAACACTTTTTTTATTTGACAGCTTCAGCCCACTTCAAGGTTATTTTTTATATACATGTATAGAATACACAGCTCAGAGTAAACCAGTGATTTCCAACATGTGTGGCTTGCGACTTCTTATGAAAGCAATGTTTCAGACATTTAGGAGCATTTAGGTTTCCCTTTAAACGTCTCTGATTAAAGGATCAAATGTAGGAATAAAAGTGTTGATAAAAGCTTAGATTTTTGCAGTTTGTATTCCATTAATCATCTCATGTCCCCTTAAGCTTATCTTAGAGGCTGGGACTCCCTGCTGTATAGGATGAATACTGCTGTTTTCAGTTGCTTCAGTCACAGTAATATCATGTCTGATCATTTGTCAGTCACAAAGGTCATTTTTCAGAATACCTATCTTTGAAGTTTTGATTTTAAGTATTACATTAAATCATGCACAACTTTTTTTCTAGTATTTTGACT